TTTCTGCTGTAGGCATTAGACCAGGGGTGTGGTGTGGCTGGAGGGCTGCGGAAGCATAGTTCAGAGAGCAGTTTATTGTGCCCATGGAGGATTCTCAGCAGGAAGGATTCCCAGAGAAGGTAACATTTGAGCCAGCCATTTGGAGGTTGGTTTGTCTTTGGTGGCCCTTTGCAGAGGGAGCCCTTCTTCTGTCTGAAGTTGAGCTGCCCAGGGTTACTTGGCCTTGTGGAGGTTGGAAGGCATGGGCTTTGGGGTAAATGTTGAGTCTGTCACCTCTGAGCTGTGCTTTGGGCAAGTGACCAATGTCTCCAAGCCTCAGTTCCTTCATCTATTATGATGGGGCTGGCAGCACCCAGCTTACAGGTGAATGAATGTAAAGGTTTAGTATATATCTCAGAATGGAAAATTGGTAGCAGGTCTGGCTTCTAGGTGTATTATGTTTGGTTCTTGCAGAGTTTGCTGAAACACTTCTCTAAAAGGAGTATAATTAGGTGCCAACTAATTGACATGAAATCTGGATTTTTTTCTTAAAAACTGGGAGACGGAGCAATGCTGTACTGGTGATGCTGTGAGGTGCTATCAGCTAGAGCTGAGTAGCAGCTGCCATCTCTAAAGGGGTAACTGTCTTGGTCCCCGCAGTCTCTACCTCACCCTCTTCTCTGCCTTCCTTGCCACATTACTCATTTGCATTCTCCGCCTGACCCTGTAGGATTGGAGGGGTTCGATCTTGGTCTTGTACACGCATGCCTCTGGCCTATATTGGACAGCACTTTCTGCTCCCCTACTCCTTCACTTCTGCATTCTTTCCATCTCTTTATTTAAAACAGTGATGGAAATTAAACAACAAAAACAACAGCACTAAACTCTCCATTGGGTTGAGAGTGTCATACATCCTAGATGCCTGCAAATGTGACTGAGTATAACTTCTACCAGTGGCAAAAGTGATGTGATGTACCTGTCCCCTGCAAAGCTCTGATGTGGGGTGTTGGTTATAGGGTGAAGGAAAATGGGAGCATGATTAAGATATGGCATGGTCTACTGCCTGATGGGGACACCTAATATGTAATTGTCTTACTGCAGTGTGGCTGTTTAGTTTGGAAAGATAGACACTATTGTTTTAATCCCCCCCCCCATTAGTTCTGCTAGGGCAGTGGTCCGAAAGCTGGGCTGGGGGGTAAATCCAGCCCAAGGCTGTTTTTGTTAACAGCCATGCTGATTCATCAATGTATTGTCTATGGCTGCTTTTGAGGTACAAGAGCAGAGCTGAGTGGTTGTGACAGTGACTGTATGAACCATAAAGGCTAAAAATAACTAACTACCTGGCCTTTTACAGGAGAAGTTTGCCCAATACTGTTCTGTGGTCCATTAAAGGTGCAGGTTTATTCAGTGAAAACCAGAAACAAATCATCTGAGATAGTGCACCACCAGCTTATGCAGGGCTTGATGAAAATGCCATGTGAATTGCAACTTTGCAGGGTGCATTGGAAGAATCACATTGTATCACTGAGTGTATCATGTATTTGTTCTGTAATATCAGTCTCTATTGAGTATTCGCCTGCGCTTCCAGATGTTATGGCCACTGTGTAGATAGATAATTCAGTGCAGGGTGAAGGAGCTGACTTGGGGCCAGAGCTTGGAATAGTAATGGTGGCAGGGGTGGCTCTCAGAGGGAAGAGCTGTGATGGACAGGGCAGCAAAGAAATGGGGTTGCAGCTGGAAGGACATGTGGGAATAAGACGTGGCTAATATTAAATTTGGGGGAAATATTACAATATCTTTTATGCTATAGGAATTTCTTAGATGAGGAAAAAAATAGTTGACAGTGTGGGAAAAAATCTGGACAATTGCTGGAGTATATCCTTGAGCAGGTGAGAGGAGATAGGATTCAGAGCACAGTGGAGGTTTAAATTATTTATCCTCTCTGAGCCTCAGTGTCATCATCTGTGAAATGGGGATAATCTAACCTGCATTAGGACAGAATTTCCTAATTGAGGCACTCTTGACATTTTAGGCTAGATGATTCTCTGTTGTGGGGCTGTCCTGTGCATTGTAGGATGTTTAGCATCATCCCTGGACTCTACCCACCAGATGACAGTAGCATCCTCCAGTTGTGCCAAAAATGTCTCCAGATATTGCTGAAATGTCCCTTGGAGGTGGGAGGTGACATAACCCTGACTAAGAATTGCTTATCCAACCCATTCTTCAGTAGACCCCTCATAGCAAACTTCCTCGAACTATACTTATTTGAGTGTGCCTGTTGTTTCCTGTTAGGAGCCTGACTGAGGCAGAAGTTAAGGACCTCCTAGTGTCAGACGAACTGTCCCCTCAGTACAATCAGAAATATGAAAGAGAAGTGAGTGTGGGGTGGCTTTTCTACTCTGTTCTTCAGTGCGGGGGCTGGGTACTATCTGTGGTTGTGTTGTCCCACCCGCCCTTTGGAGAATTCTGCTGTAGGTGTTCCTTTGGCTTGGGAGGTGCTCTGGGTCAATATCTACCTGTTTTGGCCCTTCCCATAACAATATTTTGGGAATATTGAGTTGGCAGACCAGGGTCTCAGCCTCCCATATAGCACTTCTTTGCTGCGTGACCTTGGGTAGAATTCCTGATATGCAGTGGGCACCCAGAGAATGTTGCTGTCTTTTTCTTTTCTCTTTTATAGTTCTTAGTGCATTGCAGGGATTAGCCTGAGACCACAGAAATGCCTGGCATGATGTCACCTCTGCCATTGCAGGGAGAGGCAGGGAAATACCACTGTTTAAGTGTGTGTGTGGCCTTGATCAAGTGACCCAGCTCCTCTGTGGAGGGGAACCATGTTTACCTTGACCTCCAGGGTTGCTGCAAGGATTAGAGGACTCTGCACAGGGCACCTGGTGCATCATGCTCATTCTTCCCACCTCCCCCCAGTGCCATGGACCCTTTTCACCTTATTGTCTCCCAGGGCATCAAGCACAGAGGCTTACATTTAATTGCCCTGCCTGTGCTTTGGAGAGAAGGTAGCCAGTTAAAAGTAATGGTTAGACCCAGAGGTCTTACACCAACAACAACAGTAATCATAGCTGACATGTATAGAGTGCTTGGTATATACACTTGGAACTGTGGTAGGTGCGCAGTAAGCATTCACTCATTTAACAGACCTCGCAGGTGCAGAGTTTGAGTAACTTGCCCGTGGTCACATACTGGTGTGTAGGATTCAAACCTGGGCCATCCCATTCTTCACTCCTGGATGTTTGTGGTAAAAATTAATGTAGAGTCCTAAGGATTCTAGACATTCAAGACAACAGAGATGCACCTGAACCAGGTGAGTGACTTTCACATGCACACGTGGTTTCTGACAGGTTTGTGGACACCTGGTGGTGTTTCCTGGTGGCTTTACATATTTTATTTTCGTTTTGACGGCGATGTTATGAGTGAAAAAGAAGCCTGCCCTGGTTTATCTGGCTGACAGTGTTGCCTGAAGGCTGCCCTTGGAGAAGGAGGGAAGCAGGAAGGCTGGGCTCTCGCAGAGGAGTCCCTCCTGAACCTGCAGCGGGGCTGTGACTGCAGGTTTGTTACAGGGGTCAATAGTGAGCAGGACTGAGAGATGGCTGAGCAAGGAGCCAGTGGGCTTGAAATTGATACCTACCCAGCACTTCCCGTGTCACTGGCCTTGGGTGAAGATCTTTTTCTCCCTGAGCCTCAGTGTTCTGGTGAATGGAGCCACCTTCCCTTCTTTGTCAAGGACGAAAGGATGAAATGCCAGTTGCTTAGGGGCTTAGCCCACACTCGAGGCTCAGCAGGTGGCAGGTGTGGCTTTGAGACCTGAAGGTTCTTCTTGGCCCTGGCAGGGTTCTGTGTTCTCCTCTTTGTCACTGGGAGAAGACAGAAAGAGAGCGGTGGCTTTGATTGCTCTGCCTGCCTGTCTCCACAGAGGCCCCACGTTGGCAGACTGCAGAGCAAGGAGGGCGTGAACTCCTGCAGAAACCTGTGCACAGGGAAGGGAAGTGCTGTCCCTGTCACATGGCTGGTAAGCAGCCTGGCCAGGAGAAGGACTCATGATGCCTTGTGACTTCCCACTAGTGCTCGTTTCACTAATGGCCATGGGCCCTTTGGGCACGTCCTGCAGCTGAGTGCTCCCAAGGCCACCTGTGCTCCCTCCACCCTAGGAGACCCCTTCTCTTAATCCTCTGTCAGGGCTAGGATGGCCACAGGTGCCCCGTCTGAGGTCAGGGTTGTCTCACTCCAGTGACTTTTCTCCTGTAGAGAGATGGCAGCCAGGGAGGGGGGTGGTGGGCTGGGACCTGCACAACCTCAGGCTGTTTCTTTACAGAGAACAGGCTTTTCTTCCTACTATAGAGAGGCATTGCAACGTAAGGCAAGGGAGGCTGTTGACATCTCGTGTAGATAAAGCAGTGGTGGCAAGATACTGTAGAAGAGATCTAGGATCATTGTGCATGTCATTAAGGTAGGTGCTAAATTCTTGCTATTCACGTGTGGATCATGACCCAGCAGCAGCAGCATCACCTGGGAGTTTGTGAGAAATGCAGAATCCCAGGCCCCACCCCAGACCTGCTGAATCAGAACCTGCCTTTTAACACACCCCAGGGGACTCATGGGCACATGAATGCTTGGGAATTGCTGCACTAAATGATAACTAGTGAGATGGAGATTTTAATTTTCTTTGTACATTTTCCCCTGATTTGTTGTTACTGTATTTTTTTTGCATGAATTACTTTTTTTTTTTTATTGTGGTAAATACACATAAGATTTATCATCTTGATCATTTTTAAGTGCACAGTTCAGTTAAATATGTTCACATTGTTATGCAGTCATCCCCATAACTCTTTTTCTGTTGCAAAACTGAAACTCTATACCTATTAAACAATAACTCCCTATTCCTCCCTCCCCCAGACCTTGGCAACTACTATTATACTTTCCTCTATTAATTTTTAAAAAAAAAATATCTTTATTGATTTCAGGGAAAGGAAGGGAGAGGGAGAAAGAGAGATAGAAACATCAATGATGAGAGAGTCCTCATTGATCGGCTGCCTCCTGCACGCCCCCTACAGGGGGTTGAGCCTGCAACCCAGGCATGTGCTCCCCTATTAACTACTATAAGTACCTCATAGAAGTGGAATCATACAGTATGTTGTAGCTTATTGCAGTTTCCTTCCTTTTTAAGAATGAATAATATTCCATTGTGTGATAGATCATATTTTGCTTATCCATTCACTTGTCGATGGACACTTTCATTGCTTTCATGTTTCAGCTGCTGTGAACATGGCTGTAAAATTTCTCTCGAGACCCTTCTGTTCTTTTGGGTGTATACCCAGAAGTGGAATTGCTGGGTCATGTGGTAATTCCATTATATGAATTATACTTATGATCAGAAAAAAAAGCAAAAGCATTTCAGGGGGGAAAACCTTGCCAGGTATCCAGCTGGCATTGCCCAAGGGCAAGTAGAGTTGTTGGGTGCAGTCCTTGGGAAAAGTAAGAAAGCAAGCCTGACTTCCCTGTCCTGGTGTGAGAGAGGAACAGAAGCTAAGCCTTCTGCTAAACAAGGAGCAACATTTATTGGTAGACACAGGTGTCAAGAAGATGTTTGAGGGCCTTGGGTGGGTGCGGTCTCCGTCATGAGTGACGCTTCAAAATGGCCTTCTGTCTGGTGGAATGATGTGTAGGCTGTTCTTTCTCAAAACCTATTCCAGTAAAATGACAGTAGCAACATTTGGGAAGTCAGGCATATTGCTGTGTGTCCACAGAGTGTCTACCACTGGTTTTATCTCCAGGCCTGGAGTGAGGAAAGAACCTTGTGTGCTGGTTGTTCTAACTCAGGCATTGGAGGGGCATGGTCTTGAGTCAAGGTCACAGTTCTACCAGTTAGTATTTAAATTAGAACAAAAACTAAACCCGTTATCACGGTCCCCAAGATCCTTTGTGACTTGCTCTTGCATGCCTGTGTGATCTTTACTTCCCCTTTTTTGCTCTTTGCTCAAGTCACAGCAGACTTCCTTATGGGCCTGGAAGACGAGAAGCCAAGTGTGTTCCTGCCTCCTGGGCTCTACCCTGGCTGTTTGCTCTGCCTGGAACCCTGGTTGCCCATATCTTCCCATGGCTGCTCCTTCGCTTTGTAAAGAGCTCAGCTCAATGTCACCTGGGCAGAGAGGCCTTTTCTGACTGCCCTGGCTAACGTGGTCCTCCTGCTTCCTCCCTGTCTCATCAGCCCATTTGGTTTTTCTTACTTGTATAACTCTCTAACATCATCTTATTTATTTGTTTACTTTGTTTCTTCCTAAGAGAATTTTACTCCATGAGAAGATGGCTTTTTTATAGCATTTAACTCCTATGTCTCCAGCCCTTAGAATATTGCCTGGCACACAGTTGAAATTAAATACTGAGTGAGTCAATGCACACAGTTGTTTGTCTTCTCTGAGCTTCAGTTTTCTCATCTGTGGTATGGGGATCCTAATACCTGGCTTGCAGGGTGGTTGTGAAAACTGTAAGACATAATGCATGTGGAGTACTAGGTTGAGTGCCTGGCATGCAGGAAGTGCTCAACACAAGGTCACAGTTGTTATCCACTGGGTGGCCCTGGCATGACATGGATGAATTGCTGATCATCTCTGAGGTGATGCCCTGCTGGTCCTCCCTGCTGAAGCCCATGTTGAGTTGCCCAGGAAAGAAGCAGCTTGGTGACTGTTCAAGACCTGCTGTGTGGAACATCTGCTCTTGTGACCCTTGACTCTGAACCTCCTTTGAAACGGCTGTGTTCTTTATGTGGTGAATCATAACATGTAGCCGTATTACTGTTGGTTGGAGTCACTGGGCCTCCTGTGGAGCATCAGATGTAGCTCTGACAGTTTTCTGCCTAGTACTTTGAAGTGTCCTTACCCAGACCCTCTTTAAGTGGAAGGTCAGTGTATGCCATGTGTATCAGTTGGGAAAGCTTTTGGCTGCAAGTAGCAGCTCAGCAAACAGTGTTTTGAACAAATGTTCTTTGTTGTGTCAGAGGTAGTTGATTTCTAGTATTGGTTCAGCAGCAGAGTGACATGAGGGCTGGGGTCTCTGTGATTCTTTTTGCCCTCCCTCCAGGCTTATTACTTCATTGTAGCAAGATGCTGCCTGGCTCCACCCAATGTATTTATGATTAAGGCATGAAAGATAGAAGAAGGAAGGAAGCCATTAGTATCTGTTCTTTTATCAGGATGGCACAATTTCCCCAGAATCTTTCCAGTGCACTTCTGCTTACATCTCATTAGCATACATCTCATGGCATACATCTCATTAGCTAGAACTTCTTAAGGTCAGCCTTATAAGGGAGGCTCAGAAAAGGAGTGATTAGGTTTTTCAGCTTGTATTGCAGTGGCATGGGAAGAGGACATTGGAGGTGATGGTAAGGTCAGCCAATGAGCAGCACCTGCATGCCAAGAAATGTGTATTTTAAGTTAGACCATTGGCTCTCAACCAGGGGCAATTTTGTGTCCCAGAGGACATCTAGAGACATTAAAAAAAAAAGATATTTTATTCATTTTTACAGATCGAGGAAGGGAGAGGGAGAGAGAGAGAGATACATTGATGTGCGAATGATACATAGATCAGCTGCCTCCTGCACATCCCCTACTAAGGGATCGAGCTTGCAACCCGGGCATGTGCCCTGACCCGGAGTCAAACTGGCAACCTTTTGGTGCATGGCACGACTCTCAACCAGCTGAGCTACACCGGCCAGGGCTAGAGACATTTTTGTTGCCACAGCTAGGGTGTGTGTGTGAACGTACGTGTATGGTATGTAGTGGGTAGAGGGCAGGGATTGCTGCTAGACATCCTACAATTCATAGCGTAGTCCCGCCATCTGACCCAAATGTCAGTAATGCCAAGGTTGAGAAACCCTGAGTTAGATGATTCCAGACACATTCTTCAAATTTGGGGACCATAGTTTAGCTGCTTTCCTGTGTTGCAGTGACAGGGAAATGGTCAGACTTCATTGTAATGATGTAGATTATTGGTGCCAGTCTTGCTATTAATTTTATTAAAGAGAAGGCTGATGCTAGTTGGGGACAGCCATATACTATATGTCAGAAAGTCTTAATAGAAGGCTAATGTCAAACAGAACTAATTAAGCCTTGTTGCATTTTAGGATCACAGAACAATGACATGAAAAGACAGTTTCTGCTGGAGCGACTGCTGGATGCAGTGAAACAGGTAAGAGGAAAGCTCATGTTTGACCTTGACATCAAGTAATAGTGTCACATAATTAGTGTAGAAGTCATTTCTGTCTTTCTATATAGGCAGACTTTCTCCTACATTGTATCTGGGAACAGTGAGGCCAGTAGTTTTCCTCAGAAAATGATAGAGCAGGGAAAGTGGTCAGAGGAGGGGGACAGAGGTGTTCCTGTGTCCTGACTTTCTAAAGACCTCTGGAGGACCCCATCCTCCAGTAATGTCCGTTTGAGAAGGGCACTGATGTGGGTTTCAGAGTCTCATTTCCAAGCAGTTGTGTTTTAGGGCAACTCTTTTGGTTGCTAAGGTGGTGGTTGAGGTTAGAACTTTGTGAGCATAATAACAGAGATGAGGAAGAATGAACCACTCCCACGGTTGATGGTTTGGATCCTCCAGGTGGACTCTGCTCTGAGTGGTTGATGCTGTTTTGATGCCTTGCTTTGGCTGGGTGGGAGGTGAGTGTTGACATAAGCTGGCATAAGCTTCCTTGTCTGCATGTACCACATATGCATCATTTATTGCACACTCATCATGTGCTGGGCTGTTTGCTAGGTGCTTTACATTTACTCCTTCCACCCACCCTGTGAGGTAGTTCCTACAATTATTTCCATTTTACGGCTGAAGAAATTGAAGCTCTGAAAGGCCCAATAACTTGCTTAAAGTGTCATATTTAATCAGTAGCAGAGCTAGGATCCAGCCCTGGGATTCTAGATAGCTCACATTTCAGAAGGGGTGACTGACAATTATATGCGTGTAATCACAATATAGGGAGATAGGAGATACATACTTTAATAAAGGTGTGTGTTAGGTTGTTGACTGTGTTAAGTGTTAGGTGAGCTCAGAGACTTCAGCACCCACCCAAGCCTCGAGGTGTCTTGATGTGGTGCAAACAACACAGGCTCTGGTGCAGCTGAGGTCAAAGGCCAGTTTCATTTCTTCCCAGCTGTGTGTGCTTGGGCAACTCATCTAGCCTCTCTGGGTACCCTTTTCTGTAATCTGGTCACTGACCTCCACAGGGCTGTTGAGGAAATTGCATTTGTTAAAGTAGGTGAAGGCCCAGCCAGCTCCTGGTCCACTGTAAATTCGGAACACGTGTTATCCGTTTCTTCTTTCTCTGCTCCAGAATGGAAAATATAACAAGGAGACAAGGAGGCACGTGGGACCACTTTAAGTGTAGCAGTTAAACAGAAATAAATTGGAGCTTATGCCCGATCTGCCATGATTGTTATTATTTTGGGGAGGGGGGCGAAAGTATTATATATATATTTCCCTTTTAAAAATCAGGCATAGCCCGGCCAGGCGTGGCTCAGTGGTTAAGCATCGACCTAGGATCCAGGCGATCAGGGTTCGATTCCCGGTCAGGGCACATGCCCGGGTTGCGGGCTGCAGCCGATCAATGACTCTCTCATCATTGATGTTTCTGTCTCTCTCCCTCTCCCTTCCTCTCTCTGAAATCAATAAAGATATATTTAAAAAAAAAAAAAATCAGGCATAATTTGCATACAGTAAAAAAATCCAATTTTGAATGTGCAGCTCTATAAGTTTTGACAAATGTGTCATTTAAAATTATATATGTAATAAGTTCATTACTCTCGTAAGTCTGCTACCTACTCTTTAAAAGNGGACTCTCGTAAGTCTGCTACCTACTCTTTAAAAGAGAAGAGTGGCCCTAGCTGGTTTGGTTCAGTGGTTAGAGCATCGGCCCGTGGACTGAAGGGTTCTGGGTTCAATTCCATCCAGGGCATATACTTTGGTTGCAGACTTGATGCCCAGCCCCGGTCCACCCCTGGTCGGGCACGTGCTGGAGGCAACCAATTGATGTGTGTCTCTCACACTGATGTTTCTCTCTCTCTTTCTCTCTCTCTCTGTCTCTCTTTCTACCTCCCTTCCACTCTCTCTGAAAAACAGTGGAAAAAATATCCTCCAGTGAGGATTAAAAAAATAAAAAAAGAGAAGAGTGGCGAGTGGTGAGGGTTGCACATATTGTGAATTGAATTGTATAACTAGAAATGGTTAAACTGGTAATTTCATGTTTTCTATGCTTTACCACAATTGAAAAAAAAAAAGAATAGTTTGCTTTTGTTTATACCCACCTTGAGTAAATTGTCACTCAGCACAACCAGACGACTTGTTTGGAGTGTGATTTTTAAAAAATTTCTTATCCTTATCTGAGGATATGTTTTTTATTGATTTTAGAGAGAGGAAGGGAGAGAGAGAGAGGGAGGGAGAGAGAGAGGGAGGGAAGGAGAGAAAGAGAGAAACATCAATACGAGAGAGAAACATCAATACGAGAGAGAAACATTAGTGTGAGAGAGAAACATCAATTGGTTGCCTTCCATATGCACACCGACTGGGGCTCGAACCCACAGCCTAGGCATATGCCCAGACTGGGAATCGAACCACAACCTCTGGTGTACAGGATGATGCTCCAACCAACTGAGCCACCTGGCCAGGGCTGAAGCGTGATTTATGCTGTCATAATTTTCTAGCCAGTCATAACAACCTTGGGCCCTGTCAGAAGGGACCCATTGTTGCAGATTTGTGCAGCAGGCTTACAAGTTTTAATTATTGCATGTTGAGAGCCCTGTGTTTTAGACAGCCAGCTGCTGACACGTAGAAGTCTCCTAGATAAGGTGCAACGCTGTGTGCTTCTGTGTTCCTCTTGGCATTGTTTTCCCACAAGGCTCATTTCTGTGCTGGGAGAGATAAGGACTTCCTTTAAGTGGCGGCTGGAAGGCTGGGGTGTCTGCCATCTGACGTCTTGGGCTGACACCAGGGCAGAGGATGGCCTGACTCGGCACCCAGAGTTTCTGGCCCTGTGTCCCCAGCCCAACCTGAAGTCTATGTGGGCTGTTTTGTGACAATTGAGCGTCCCATCTCAACAGCTGATCTTAGTGGCTTTTTTTTCTGTGCAGTGCCAGATCCGCTTTGGAGGGAGAAAGGAAATCGCCTCGGATTCTGACAGCAGGTAAATATGTCTCTTCTAAAACCATTTACCGTCAAGAGCAAAAAGGTGGCTAGAGATGACCAGCTTCTGCAGTCCGCCTCTGCAGCCACATGGTGCTGTGATGAAGTTTGAGTGGTCTGTAGCCCGTCCGTGCAGTGACTACTCTAAAGTATTCCCAGCTTCCCATAATTCTCTTCTCGGAATCTGTTATGAGGGAATTACAAAATACCTGCTGCATAAAGTTATTTTCAGGGAAATTTACAATGATGAAAACTCAGAAATCTAATTGCTTGACAATTGGGAAATGGTTAGTAAAGTATAGTGCGTCAGTAGAGTGGAAAGTTACATAGCCATTAAATTGATGTCTGTGCAGAAAATGCATATGTAGAATTAAAAATTATATATTTAGTAAAAATAACAAGATACAAAGTAGCAGGATACAAAATTATATGGATGCAGAGTGATCCTAGCTACGTTAAACAGCTCTGGCAAAAATGTACCAAAATGTGAACAGAGGTAATGTTGGAGTTAAGATAATTGGAAATCTTTATATTTCCTGATATTTTTCATATTTTATACTATGATTGTGTGTTCCTTTCATGATTAAAAAAAGTCCTAAAAATTGCCATTGATCCCCATGACCCAGGAAAGGCTGACATATTCACAGAAGCTTATAACTTTGACTGGGAGGCGACACAAAGGTTTTGGCAAAGAGGAGAGACACACAGGCGCTTGCTGGAAAGGCTCTGTGAAGGATCACTGGGAGCTGATTCATGCCCTGCAGGCGGGGAGAGGCCGGAGGCACATTCCTGCAAAGGAAGTGAAGGGAAGGGAACTCACTTGCTCAGCACTCATCTCATCCTGGAGACTTTCCACGTCCAGCACCCTCTTACCCTGGCCCACCCAGCGGAGCCACTTCTCTTTTCTGTCCTTTCACACTGTTGTTCTGTGACACTTTGCCACTATGAACACAGCATATACTGCTACATTCTGATAGAGCCGTGGGGACTGTTGGAAACTGGTGCAGATTTAAAATGGTGCCCCCTCCCTTACACTCCTGTCCCCCTTTGCTTTGTTTTTCTACCAACACTTATCGCCAACTAACAAGGCACATTGTGCTTTCCTGTTTTGTCTAGGTCTGCCTCCCATACCATAATGTCAGCTCTGTGTGGGCAGTGATGCTACGCTGTGTTGTTCCCTGAGAAGCATCTAGAAGGTGCTCAGTGAAGATTCAGGGTCCAGTTGAGTTGTACCATAGTCAAGTGTGCCGCTGCGAGGCTTGTCATCTTTGAGGGCAGAGGACAGCCTCTCCATTTTTTTACTTCTCAGCATTTTGCACAAACATTTTATGCTTGTCCTCAGTATGCATTTGTGGCATCAGATCATTAGACTGATTTATTGCTTCAGCTCTTCCAGCCGGCTGTCGCTACGCCCTGGTTAGGCTGGCATGACAGTGCAGGGGCTCTCAAGGCCCGGCCTTGAGTCCTGGCTCTTCTTCTTTTCAGCTGTGTCACTTGCCTTACTTACCTCTCTGAGCCCAAGAATTAGGTGTGCTGGGATACTGGGATTTATAACAAAGGTATACATTTGTTCTTTGTTCCCATTCCTGTCACAAGCTCCTAAATCCCTAGTATTTTCAAAGTGATGAGATCCATAAGGGTATCTTTTGTTATGTCAACATAGTGACTTTTGGAAAGCACCAAAGGCTAGGGGCTGGTGGCCAGGAGAACCAACTCTGTGATTAAGGGTTGGAAACTCTGTTCCATACCCCCACCTCTGGGAGGGGAGAGGGACTAGAGGTTGAGTTCAGTTGCCAATGGCTAGTGACTCAATCCATGCCTATGTAATGAAGCCTCCATAAAACCCCCCAAGGACGGGGTTTGGAGAGCTTCTGGGCTAGTGAACACATGGAGGTGCCAGGAGAGTCGCTGTCTCTGAGAGAGCATGATAGCTCCACACCCTTTCCCACACACTTCACCCTATATGTTTCTTCCATCTGACTGTTCTTGAGTTATAGCCTTAACTAGCATAAACTGATGATCTAGTAAGTAATATGTTTCTTTGAGTTCTGTGAGCCACTCTAGCAAGTTAATTGAACCCGAAGAGGGGCTCGTGGCAACCTCTGAGATATATAGCTGGTCAGTCAGAAGCACAGGTGACAACCTGGAGTTGCGACTGTCGCCTAAAATCAGGGGCTGGTGCAGTCTTGTAGGACTGAGACCTTAACCTGTGGGATCTGATGCTATCTCCAGGTAGATAGTGTCAGAATTGGGTTGAATTGTAGGACACTCAGCTGGTGTTGGAGAGTTGCTTGCTGATATGGGGAAAACCCAAACATTGGTATCTACCTAGATAGTTGTGAGGATTGTCACATACTATGTGTAAAAAGCCAGACATGTAGGAGTGTTAGTTTTATTCCATAGTAAGAAGTCCTTGCCCCTCATGGAGTGAAGTCTGGCTGGCACACTTGTTACTCAGCTTGTGATACCTACCCATGCAGGTAGTAGACTACAAATAGATGGAAGAGCAAAAGTGAATTCACAAGCCTTGTTACTGTTCTTTTTTTGCTCTCAAAGGAAAAATTGAAGATGGAAGGTTTCTTTCCATGTTACTCTGGGCATAGTTCTCAGACCCATTTGGAAAATGGAACTTCTTGTAAATGTCTCTTCCTACATCATTCTCCTCCAAGAATCTAAGCCCTGTGACCACTAAGAAGTAATGGGTAATTGGAAGATTTTTCATAAAAGGCTAAGTGTTGTCTTTGAATGCATTTTACATGTACTGTCTTAGGAAAAGTTTTAGGCAGGTCTGTGAGGCATTGGCTTGTGATTGCAGCTAGAGAGCTCAGCTGGCGGGATGGGTAGTAGTAGGAACCTTTGAAAGGATGGTACACCAGTGTATCAGGGCTCGTTGGTAAAAAGCAACAGAAATTGGTTCCAGCTGAGGATATTGTGGTCTTAGGGAATTGATGGCTGCGGCCAGGTTTGGAAACAGGAAGGAGTCAAAGCAGCTTTGGAAGGCTCATGAGCTGGAAAGAAAAGCTGAGAAATGGTCTTCTAGAAGGAGTGGTGATCCAATTAAGGCTTTGCTGCTGGAGTGAACACCAGCTGTTTTCTGACTCTCCCGTATTTTGCTCAAGGTTGACATTCCAGGGAGGAAGCACCTGATTTCTCAGTCTCAGGTCACTTGGCCACCTCCTGGCCACCAGCAGAAGGATTTGGCTCAAGGAGTTTCTTGGGACCCCAATGGCTTATGTAGTGCAAAGATATCTACCTGGGTTCACCATCCCATCAAGATAATATCCAGGGAGGAAGAAATAAACTTTCAAAATGACATCTGGGTGCTGTTATGAAGGTGGAATAAATATGGGGTGGTCAACATGCCCAACAATTGTCCCCTGTCACTGCTGTACTGTGAAGATAATCTTTCTTGTGACAGCACTGTCTGGTTTAAAAATGCTGACGTCTACATCATTGGTCTCATTTGATCCTCAAGAGGACCCCAGGAGAACAAGAGGGGGATACGTTTTCTACTTCCACAGGCAAAAAAGCTTGGTGGCTGGTCAGCTGTGCAGCATTTATTTACCAGCTCCTAAGTGTCAGTGCTGGGGGCACAGGCCTTGGTTAGGTGGGTCGCATGGGTGGTAGGTCGTGGAATGGGCCTGGAGCACAGACTTCATGTTCCCAGTTTGGTCCTCACTAACACTACATCCCCTTTTGTTTTTCTAGCAGAGTGTCTGAAATTGAGAGATGTGTATCACTGCAGGTATTTAATATTATTTTAAGTGTTAAGCTACCTTATTAGATTCCTTTCAATTGCCTAGTGGCTCAGTTATTTTCCTTTAAATTCTCTTCATGTCTTACTGATATTGGGGGAAAGTGTTGGTTTGGTGCTGATAATATTAAGTTGAATTAAATGAAATTGACAATATTTGATTTTGACCGACAAAAATAACAGTATCATATAGTTCAAAATAATAATCTCTAACAGCCCCTTCTCTTCTTTAAACAGTGTGCAGGTTTCAGGCTCAGTCTCCCTTTTAGGGCTACTCTCCATAGAGCCCATCGTGCTGACTTTCCATTTGCAATAGCAATAGAGTTTTTCATTTTAAAACAGGCTTATGTGATAAAAGTGAGTCATTCAAGACAAGCAACTAATAGGTATCCTTAGATATTATAGAAGTGGCCGAGGTGTTTGTGCCTAAAGCTTGGGAATGAGAGTGCTGGCAGGACTGCAGCTGTTGTTTGGTTATTGGGCCTACTTGGTGCACAGTATTTTCTGCTAAAACCAAAATGCACAATGTGAATGCGTGTGAGTGCACATGCCTGTGGGAAAGAGATTTGTTTGATCTTGCAGGTTACACGGCAAGATGCAACAGCCAACATTTACATGAAGGGAAATGACAGGCAGGGCTTATTTTCCTATCAGGCTTTGTCCTTGGAAACCTCCTCAGAGGAGGTGGCTGCCACCAGGCTCCATGATGCATGTTTCTCCTCCTTTTTGTTGGTGTTTTCCTGCTGTTTCCCTCAGAACAAAGACCCATCCTTGTGCTTCATTAAAATTATTCCACTCTCTGTCGGTCAGACTTGGCCTGTGGAGAGGCTGTAACATATACTTTGATATAATGGCCCAAGAACTCAGCAGGCAGGGATGTTGCCTCAAAGGCTAGGTATGTTACTGTCCCACAGAAGCATCTTCCTCCCAAGTGGGATTACAGAACGTGACCTGGAGGTTTTCTTTCAGAATTAGAAATAGTAGCCCAAACCGCGGGCAGCAGAATGAGCGTGGGCTTTGGAATTTGGACTTTGAATCCTGGTGTGGCCAGTTCTGAGTTGTGTTGGACTATGGGCAAGTTCCTGACCTTCTTTTGCCTCAGTGTCCCCATCCGTAAACAGGGATAGGAGTACTAACCTTTACCTTAGAGCTGTCTGAGTTAGTTCATGTGCAGCCCTTAGAACAGGGCCTGGCAGCTAGTGAGTTTCCAGACATTGTTAGCTGTTGTTATTGTCCTCATAGTGTTA